ATAGTCTGGAAAACCGAGCCAAAGTCAGGAACCGGTAAAGCAGAATCGGATCACTTTGGAGGAACAGGAACAGTAGCTGAAAAAAGCAATGAGAGTTCACAGGCACCACAGACAATGGTGGAAACTCAATAATATAGCTATTACTAGATGGAGGTCTGGAGTTAAATTTAGGAATGGTGGGTTTGTACCTGAGTAAAATTAACTTTTTATGGAGACATTCGGACAGCAAGTTATTAAATTATCATTTTTGCAACATTTAATATAAATGACAAAACTGGTTATTCTTTTTGCATGTAAAATCTTTGATATTATGAATAAATAAATGCTAAGCACTCTTGATGATTCATAAATTATTATGCATTTCGGCTGTTTAGATTACATTTTACATACATAGATAACTGGCGTATTTAATTATCCTACTTTATGTCCTTTAGTACAGCAGCTTTTGTCTAAAGCTACTCTGTATCACAGTGTTATTTTACTTAGCTTATGTAAGCTTCGAGATGCAAAAGTACCACACACTTTGACTTAAATTTTGTGAAAATATGTATTTTCCATTTAATGTTTTTATTAACATTTATATAACCTGCTTATGATTTATTTCAGAATGACTGCTATTATCATGGTCATGTTTTAGAATCACCAGGATCCTCTGTCACTTTGAGAACGTGTTTTGGACTTCGGTATTTTATATATTTATTGTTTCATATTTTTCCAGTTAATAACATATTTTGATGTACACAAGTTTACATAGGGATGAACACAATTTTATCACATGACACATCACATTCATATTTTGCATTACTCGTTACTGTTAAATCCAGCAGCACAGATCATATCAGACAACCAATCAGAAACAAGTTTACAACTCTATAAAAGGCCCTGCCAGCCAGAGCACTTCCTCTTTGTTTGCTGCTCCAGTCTGCACAGGTCAGAGTATTTTACTTTGTGATTCTCTTACTTGTTGCATGTCTTTTATACCTTATTTGTTTGAGTTTTTCATTAGTAGCTTTATTAAAAGTTATGTACTATTGATTCTTTGCCCTCCCTCCTCCTCATCCCCTTTCTTAGGCCAAGTTATATACTATATTCTATTTTCCCTTCTGTGGCCTGTCTCCTACTGCAGAGCTTTGTGTTTACCTTCATTTCCCACTCATCTCAAACGTGCTGCTGCCCACGAGTGTCGTGATCGCGCTCTCACTTTCACGGCTTATCACCTTGGCTCTTTGTGGATATGGAGTGTGGTGGGGACACCCAGCGCTATATACTCACTGTCTCCAGTGGGCCCGTGACCGCAGCCGCGCTGACTATTGCGCGCATGCAGCACCGTCCTTCTTGGATCTCGCGGGTACTGCGAGATTTACGGCGACCATCTTGTTTTCGTTCCAGATCGATATTAATGCGATCTGGAACCTAGCATTACTTACCTCCTGCAAACGTATCCTGGAAACTCCTGCAAAGTGCTCCTCATTCTTACCAGGTACATGCTTCTGAACTGGAACTGTCCTATATGGTGAAGTTATTATTATTCTTATCGCCATTTATATAGCGCCAACCTCGTAGCGCTTTACAATAATATGAAAGGGGTATTTAACTATAAATAGGACAATTACAAGAAAACGTACAGGAACAATAGGTTGAAGAGGACCCTGCTAATAGAGCTTACAGTCTAAAGGGTGTGGGGTATAAAACACATTAGGACAGAAATATCAATCAAATAAGGTGGGAGTGAAGCAGAGCTGGAGGAGAGAGTAGAGTGCTGCCCTTTGGGAGAGAGCAAGCGACAGGTTTGTAAGGTAGAGGTTACTTTGGGAGGCCATAAGCTTTCCTAAAGAGATGGATTTAAAGGGACTTCTTAAAGGATTGAAAGCCAGACTTAAGAGGGTCAATGAGAGAGTTGGAATTGAGGAAGTGAGACACACGGGCAAAGACGAGTCTTTCCAGAAGCTTTGAGGAAAAAGGGAGCAGGGATATGGGACGATAGTTGGAGGGAGAGGACGGGTCAAGAGATATTTTTTCAGGATAGGTACTACAGTGGCATGTTTAAGATCTGCAAGGAGAATGCCATAAGAAAGAGAGCAGATGAAGAAGATGCGTGTTAAGGAAGGCACAAGACAAGGGGAGAGAGACCTGATGAGGTGAGATGGAACGAGAACGAGCAGGCAAGTGGTGGGGCGAGAGGAAAGGAGAAGCGCAGCCACCTTTGTTCAGTAGCCGGGGAGAAAGTCTGAAGGGTAGGAAAGGCATGATCTATGTTAGAAGGAGAACGGCAAGGTGGGGAGAATTCTTTCCTTAGCTGTTCAGTCTTGTCGGTAAAATAGCATGCAAAGCTATCGTCTGTAAGGTTAGTTTGGGGGATGGTCACAGCAGGGCGAAGAAGAGAGTTAAAGGTGTCAAAAAGATGCCTGGGATTGTGGAAGTGCTTTATATATACCTGCACAAATACTGTGTGACATACTAATTACTGGGTATTTAACCTGATAACAGTCTACTGAATTAGTTTATCATACAAGTCACTGTGCCAAAGTTGCCATATGTAGGTGTCCTCTGTTTTACATGGCACACCACCTGGGGTGAGCTCCCAGTTATCTACGAGCTGGACTCTGTACAGGCAGACGCTACAGGGGTGAGCCCCCTCTCATGGTACCCATATAACCCAGTTCAGCAAATGCTGTCTATAAATACATTACTTGTGCCTGACCATGGAGGTACAACTCTGACTTACAACTGGGGTGAACCCTCTTTTCATACACATCACCTGGCAACTCTAAAGAGTTGGTGCCACCTCCCAGGCCAGTAGTTTCAGGGGTATACCCCCTATATACATATATATATATATAGAGAGAGAGAAATAAGACTTCCACTTATCCCAGATCACGCAAGGGAAACCCCTTTCTGTACATTCGAGAGTGAGCCTCTCTCATATTGGCACTGACATCTAGGAATTGTCTCCCAGTGACACCCAGAATTGACCAATTTCTGGGCAAGCCCCAGTTGTAACAGAAGCCTGGCACCCCATGGGGTGTATTTCATGCATGTAACTCAAGCACACTGTCTGTCACTGTTCCCCAACAGGATTACTCTCCCAACATGAGTGACACCCCCCCTCCGACGCAAGACCTACAGGCACTGATCAAAGCCGTTGTATCTGCTTCTGTAGAAAAAGCTGTCATGAAGGTG